TGGCCAAGTGTGATTGGACACACAAGGAATTTGTCTTTGGTGCAGATGCTCTCAGTATACATAGTATACAAAGACAAGATACATTCGTCAAGAATCATAAGGTTACAACACTTAATGATACTCATAGGGTACATATAAGCAATCAAATCATACTAGGAAACAAATAAAACAATATAATTGTAAAGATACAAGTAACATGGTTACACTCATAAGTGGGAGGAGATAGGTCATAGGAAGGAAGAGAAAAATAATAGTAATATGGTCTTAGTAAATTATTTGACGGTATTGTGGGAATTAGTTGTTTAGCAGAGTGATGGCATTTGGGGGAAAACTGTCCTTGTATCTAATTGTCTTGTTGTGTAGTGCTCTTTAGCATCGTTGTGAGGGTAGAAGTTGAAACAATTTTTGTCCAGGATGTGAAGGTTTGTAGATATTTTCAAAGCAATGTGGATGGAAGGCAGGTTGATAGCAATTGTTTTTTCTGCAATTCTAATTATACGTTGAAGTCTGTGTCTGCCTTGTTGGGTTGCAGAGCCAAACCAGGTGGAGGTGCAGATGACAGAAAAGAGTGAGTGAGTGAGTTAATGAATGAATGAATGAATGAATGAATGAATGAATGAATGAATAGATTTCAGATCATAAGACTGACCATAATATACTGAAGCACTAAAATATTCATTTTTTTTACATTTTGGTTCCCTACTTTCATAAGTAAAACACGTAGGGAGAAAAAAAGAGACCAATGAACCAAATTTGTGAGTTACAACTTGGCATCAAACTTATTAAAGGAAATGTTTGTTCCTTCCAACCTCTACTCTACTGATAATGGAGAACCTTTTTACCATCTTTAGTTCCCACAGCTCAAATAAAGGACCGGTAAATGATTAAAGGCTTATTCAGAAATGTGAATTAATCTGGATTCACATATTTCACTGAGGCATAAGATGATCTGTTTGGTGGACAAGAACCCTGGGATGAACCAGAATAATAGCAACTGCCAAAATGGCCCCTTCCTGTTACTCTTCCTAGTTAAACAGACCCTCCCAAAGAAATTCAGGGCCAAGAATTCACGATTGCAAGAATATGTTTATGGGACTTATTCCCAGTTATTTTTCTCTGCCTCATAAAAAATACAGGATAATGCACAAAAGTAAAGATTCCGCTCGCACATACAGTATGTGCTAGTCGTTCCCGACTCTAGGAGGCGATGCTCATCTCCATTTCAAAACCAAAGAGCCAGTGCTGTCCAAAGACGTCTCTGTGGTCATGTGGCCTGATATGATTAAATGCCGAAGACATGTGGAACACTGTTACCTTCCCACCAAAAGTGGTTCCTATTTTTCTACTTGCATTTTTACATGCTTTTGAACTGCTAGGTTGGCAGAAGCTGTGACAAGTAAGGGGAGCTCACTCCATTATGCGGCACTAGGGATTCGAACCGCCAAAATGCCGACCTTCTGATCAACAAGCTCAGCATCTTAACCTCTCAGCCACCACGTCCCTCTAATGCACAAAAGACACCCTTAAAAGAAAAACATAGATATATAAGAAGATACTCGTTTTGAAGCGGGAGCCAGTTTGATCATTGGCAGCCCCTGGATGTTTTCTTAAAGTTGGCTAGAACAGATGCATGCTGGGAATTTAGCATCCATGACACACGGCATCTTGGGGTTTTTTGTCCAATGGTTTCTTATCAAACGATGCAAGAAAATGTCTGTGGAATTTTTCAGAACTACCTTCTGGCCAATCTTTGTCCCCCTCAGTCTGGCCATTCTCATTGGCTAGAGCCCTACATATATAGCAATAGCAATAGCAATAGCAGTTAGACTTATATNAATAGAATAGAATAGAATTCTTTATTGGCCAAGTGTGATTGGACATAATGGGAATTGCAAAATTTAGTGTATGACCAGGTGTAGTGAGCACCTGTTGTAAACTTTGTACTTTCAGATGCTATTTTTAAGAACCATAAGACAAAAATCAAATGGAGAACCAAAGCATGTCTGGATTTATCCTCCTGGGTTTCTCTGTTGGGCGTCCATCGGAGCTCCTACTTGCCTTCCTCTTCTTCGTCATTTACGTTGGCGCCTTGGGAGGCAATTCCATCATCCTCTGCATTGTACTGTCAGATAGCCGCCTGCGTACTCCAATGTACTTCTTCCTTGGCAATTTCTCCATCCTTGACATCTTCTTCACCTCCGTCACCAGCCCTCAATTGATCTGGAGCCTCCTCTCTGGGGACAAGTCTATCTCTTTCGCTGGTTGCATGGCACAAACGTATTTCTATTTCTTCCTAGGGACAGTAGAGTTTCTTCTGTTGACCTCCATGTCTTATGACCGTTATGCTGCCATATGCAACCCATTGCAATATCATGCCATCATGAGCAGCCAGGTCTGCATCCAGATGGTATTGGGTTGCTGGTTGGGTGGGTTCTTCTCCGTTCTTATTCCCATCATCATGATTAGCAGACTATCCTACTGCAAGTCCAACGTCATCAACCATTTCTTTTGTGATAGTGGCCCCCTGCTAAATCTTTCCTGCAGTGACACCCACCTCATAGAGTTGATGGACTTTGTGCTGTCGTCTGTGGTGATCCTCTGCTCTTCTGTCTTAACGCTGGTTTCTTACATATGTATCATCACAGCCATAATGCGTATCTCCACTACTACAGGTCGGGCAAAAGTCTTCAATACTTGCGCTACCCACCTGACCATGATCTCCGTCACCTCTGGTGTCAGCATCTTTATGTACGTCACGCCATCCCAAAAGAAGACCCTTGATGTCCGTAAGATCCCTGCCCTTCTCACCACAATTGTCTGTCCATTTCTGAACCCTTTCGTCTTCACCCTGAAAAATGATCTGGTCAAAGAAGTAATAAGAGACATGGTGAAAAAAAGCACAAAACTCACAGATGATCCATTTTGGGGAGGGTGTGAAAAGAAGGGCCAAAATAAGAAGGGAGTTCATGAAGAAATGTAAAAACAGAACCCAAGAAATTTTTTTGTGATTCTTATGGGTGAGAATATCAATATCAAAAGGAGAAGAACTCTGTCAGATATTAATCCAAAACAGATATGCTTTATCTGGTTGGTAGATGGAAAGGGATAGGTTGACATAACACAATGCCAATTTTAGCTTATATCCTTGTCTTAGAACTTCCTAAATCATTGTGTCACCTGAATCCAAAGCAGTTGTTTAGACTTCATGTGTATTGAGTTTGAGGTTTTTGAAGTCAAGGAAGCAATCTCTATGCATTTGATTTCATCTCCTGTATACACAAAGGAATACATAGGCACACGTATAAGACTTTTTTTGCACCAAATTGTGTGAACTGCATGACAAAGTCCTTTCGTCTCACTGAAAGTAGGCTTTCACATGGAAAAATTGTAAAACAAATTGTAAAACGATATGGCCAATAAAGAAAAATGGAATGGAATGGAATGGAATGGAATGGAATAGAATAGAATAGAATAGAATAGAATAGAATAGAATAGAATAGAATAGAATTCTTTATTGGCCAAGTGTGATTGGACATAATGGGAATTGCAAAATTCAGTGTATGACCAGGTGTAGTGAGCACCTGTTGTAAACTTTGCACTTTCAGATGCTATTCTTAAGAACCATAAGACAAAAATCAAATGGAGAACCAAAGCATGTCTGGATTCATCCTCCTGGGTTTCTCTGTTGGGCGTCCATCGGAGCTCCTACTTGCCTTCCTCTTCTTCGTCATTTACGTTGGAGCCTTGGGAGGCAATTCCATCATCCTCTGCATTGTACTGTCAGATAGCCGCCTGCGTACTCCAATGTACTTCTTCCTTGGCAATTTCTCCATCCTTGACATCTTCTTCACCTCCGTCACCAGCCCTCAATTGATCTGGAGCCTCCTCTCTGGGGACAAGTCTATCTCTTTCGCTGGTTGCATGGCACAAACGTATTTCTATTTCTTCCTAGGGACAGTAGAGTTTCTTCTGTTGACCTCCATGTCTTATGACCGTTATGCTGCCATATGCAACCCATTGCAATATCATGCCATCATGAGCAGCCAGGTCTGCATCCAGATGGTATTGGGTTGCTGGTTGGGTGGGTTCTTCTCCGTTCTTATTCCCATCATCATGATTAGCAGACTATCCTACTGCAAGTCCAACGTCATCAACCATTTCTTTTGTGATAGTGGCCCCNGAAATTTACTACAAAAGTAAATTTTGTAGGGGGGGCTGGAGGATAAACACTCGGTCCATATAATGTTAGCTTTAAGCATAGTTTTGAAAGTAGCCAGAATTAGCAATGTTCATCTGTCAATATCCATGATTTGTAACTCATAAATACCAACAAATTGCATTATGATTACCGTAGCTGCAATGCCTTTTGTTATTATGGCCTGGAGACCAAAACATGTGGAGAGTGGCTGGAGGATTTGGGTTTGGCTAGTCTAAAGAAGATAAGAATCAGGGGTGACTGTGACATGATTCCAAAATTTTAAGGGGCTGCCACGAAGAAGAGGGGGTCAAATTATTCGTCAACGCACAAGAGGGCAGGACAAGAAACAATGGTTGAAACTAATCAAAGAGAGAAGCAACCTGGAATTAAGGAGAAACTTCATAACAGTGAGGACAATTAACCAGTGGAACAGAAGTTGCCTCCAGTAATCATGGGAGCTCCATCACTGGATGTTTTTAGGAAGAATCTAGACCGTCACTTATTTAAATTGGTATAGGTTCTCCTGATTGAGCTGGGGGTTGGACTAGAAGACCTCCAACATCCCTTCCAGCCTATTCTATTCTGTCCTGTCCTGTCCTGTCCTGTTATACTCTACTCTTCTCTACTGTACTCTACTGTACTCTACTCTACTCTACCCTACCCTACCCTACTCTACTTTACTCTACTCTTTCATTCTATTAATTCAGATATAACATAAGAGCCTAAAGGTATCTTAGTCCAGCAATAAAATAGAATAGAGTAGGGTAGGGTAGAATATAATATAATAGAATAGCATAACATTGCATAGCATAGGCAATAGAGAATAGAGTAGAATAAAATAGAATAGAGTAGGGTAGGGTAGGGTAGAATAGAATAGATGGTCGTCCACTCTTTTTTTTTTAAAGCCTCCAGTGATGGAGCATCCACAACTTCTGAAGCCATTCCACTGGTTGATTGTTCTCACTGTCAGGAAATTTCTCTTAGTTTTAGGTTGCTCCCCTCCCTAATTAATTCCCACCCATTGCTTCTCATCTTGCTTTTTAGTGCTTTGGAAAATAATTTGACCCCTTCGTCTTTGGAGGAGCCTCACAAATATTGGAACACCACTATCATGTCTTCCCTAGTCCTTCTTTTCATTAGAATAGACGTGTCCAATTCCTGTAACTGTTCTTCATATGCTTTATCCTCCAGCCCCCATTATCGTTCTTGTTCCAATAATACATACAGAAATTTACTACAAAAGTAAATTTTGTAGGGGGGGCTGGAGGATAAAGCATATGAAGAACAGTTACAGGAATTGGACACGTCTATTCTAATGAAAAGAAGGACTAGGGAAGACATGATAGCTGTGTTCCAATATTTGTGAGGCTCCTCCAAAGACGAAGGGGTGAAATTATTTTCCAAAGCACTAAAAAGCAAGATGAGAAGCAATGGGTGGAAATTAATCAGGGAGGGAAGCAACCTAAAACTAAGAGAAATTTCCTGACAGTGAGAACAATCAACCACTGGAATGGCTTCAGAAGTTGTAGATGCTCCATCACTGGAGGCTTTCAAAAAAAAAAGAGTGGACGACCATGCTATTCTATTCTATTCTATTCTATTCTATTCTATTCTATTCTAT